ACGAGTTTATTCTCATAATATTATGATATCATTCTCGTTATACTACGACTTTATTGTTGTAGTATGAGTCATAATATTACGAGAATAAAATTGTAATATGACTTTATTCTTGTTATACTACAACAATAAAGTCGTAGTATAACGAGAATGATGTCATAATATTACGAGAATAAAGACATAATATTACGAGAATAAACTCGTAATACTATGACTTTATTCTTTTAATATTATGACTTTATTGTCGTATGACTATTTTCATAATTTTACGTTTTTTCTTGTAATTTATTAGTAATGTTTCTTAGCAAGGCCCTAATATGCCATCATACTAGTCTACACTGAAATAGCATACATGTTATTTTTAAAGAATTGGTGCTTTGGAAAGCTTTTTCCCTTTTCTTTCTCTTTCATCAAATGCTCTGAGTAGACCAGAGGTGCAAATGTAGTATGTCATATATGGATATATATTCATACTTTTTCACGAGTTCCTCATCTTTCTGACTGTGTAAATGTCGTGCATTGAATTTAACAGAAATGTAACGAGAGACGTTATTATCTTTGACCCATCAAATGAATGCGGTCATTTATTTTCAGAATCAAAGTTTAACATCAAACATTTACATTAATTTGGCAAAATATGAAAATAATAACAGACAAGTTTCACAGATAATGGACTTCAATCACACGGCGGTGATTGAGGACTTTGCTTCAGATATTTCTAAAATATCTGTACTGATTTTAAGAGAAAGCAGAGTTTAAGATGGAAATGGAGATTTATCTTACAGAGAGATTTGTGAGGGAATTAATCTGTTTGACCAGAAACGTGCACGCTCCATCAGATCTCAGCTTGCCCACGGTACACTTGGTCGAAAATAGAACCTTCTACCTGGTTGATGATAAAATCAGCGTCGGCGTAGGGTTCCTTTCTGACTCTTTCAGCGTCTCCGTGAGGACTGCCAAACCCTTAGAGAGTCGTACGAGGTTATCCAAACAGAAGTTATAATCCCAAAACGTCTCTGGATCATCCTGAATGCGTTTGCATCCAAGAACTCTGAACTCCTTTCATCTCCTTAGCACTCTGTGTGGAACTCTCAGAGCTCTGTAGCATCAGACTCTTCAGCACTCTGTGTGGAACTCTCAGAGCTCTGCAGCATCAGACTCTTTTTAGCTCCATTAATCTTCAGCGTCTGGCTTCAGACTTCAGACTACTCCAGAACCGGGAAGTTGCCACATTTTAAATGAGTTGACTTCTGGGTCAATTTAGAGCTTTCTGATTCGTGGATGAACCAGAATAGAGGTGTGGTTTGTGATGTAAGATGTTATCAAATTCGAGGTCAGAGAATGAGATTGTTCAACAACAGACAGAGAGATTATTGCAGAAAACCAGACTTCGTGGAGTCAAACTCTGCTGTATCTTCTCAAATAGTTAAACATGACATTTCTTCTCAGTAAACATTTTAGTTGACTGAGACTCGACCTTTAACATACTTACAAACTTGCTCATTGCAGACAGAAAAATCAAGAAATGCATATTAACCTGATTTCTTCTTTGAATGAGGAATAAAAATCATTACTTACTGTTTATGTAAAATAAAAATGAGTAGTTCTCTTCAACCTGTAAACATTGAGTGAACTAACACAATTTGATTATCAAACATTTGTAAAATAGTAATGATCATAGAGAATTGTCTTTTCTACTTGATTGATTCAAGAAAGAAAGTCACCAGATGGCTCAAACTGTATTTCTGGATGCAGATCAATGAAATAACAGTCTCTGTTCATCTGATCAGATTTGAGGTCAGATCAGGTTCACTACACAAATGCAGCAGAAAACTTTTATTTTGAAAAACATCCAGAACAAATGTATTTCTGGATATTTAAGGTCTAAAACATACAACCAGGACTTTGGTTTTCAAGCAGTTTTTGGAAAATTATATGATTAAGAATTCTTGTTGATCCTGTTACATACTGAAAATATACTCACCAGCATTACAACATAATGATGGTAATTTTTTATTCATACCAAGGGTAATTTCAGCTATATGTTGCTTGAACAAAACAAAATATCAGCGTTTTGTCAGCACACAAACCCACGAATGTGAGGCGGCCTGGAACCGGTCGATTTGTTTTAAGTTTCCAAAAAGTCCCATTTATCAGTATTTACAAGATGCTTTAGACAAATCTAATTCCAATCAGACTAACAAACTGTGCGACTCAAAGCTGATAAATGTGCAATTAAGGAACAGTGTTCTGATAGAAAACCCATTCCTGGTTAAATTAACGTCTGTGACTTGTCAACTCAGGCCAAACCAAGATAAATAGAAAACAGATCAGAATCAATCTGATGAGCAAATGAAACCTGATCAGATACATCTGGGTCATAGCTTTATATTTTATTTATTGAACAACAATCCTCCTCACTAAACTATCCATCCAGTCATCCATCCAGTCATCCATTCATTATCTTTATCCTCTTCTTCCTTTTTGGGTCACTGGGGTCACTGGTGCCCATATTCAGCAGTCACTGTGTGAGAGGCAGGGTGGGGAGTGGTGGCGCAGAGGTTACAGAAGGCGGAACTGTGATTGGAAGGTCGCCGATTCGACTCCCTGTACCGACAACTTCAAAATGTGGGTGCAGTTGTTAGGATTTGTGGTCGGAGCGAACCCAGAGTGCAGAACAGGGACTCAACTCGGCAGATATACAAAAATAAGTTCTTAATGATAAATGAAAAGTACAAAATAAACAAGCTGACGGGGCAGCAAAACTTACATAAACAAGGAGGGAGGCACGGGGAACTCAGGAGACACGGGGAACTCGAGGAACCAGGAAGACAAGGAGAGACTCAAGGAAGCGTACCCAACGAAGACGACCCGACAAAGGACAAGACAGAATAGGACTGCTTAAATACTGGGAGAAGACGAGACATGATGACAAACAGCTGGGACGAGACACAGGTGGCAACAATGGAAACTAATGAGGAGCACGAGGGAAACAGACACCGGGCCACAGAAAAGTACCATCCTTACAGCAGTGTTTCCCCTACCATTATACAAATGGGGCGCCCCGCACTGTCAAGAGAACTAAGCGTCCCACCTACCGAATTGAACTGTGTGCACCACACGCCCCCGTCTGCACTGACGTAACGCTAAGCTAGCGGCATGCAATACACGCACGCTAGCTAAAAACCCAAAGGCAGTGCTCTTCCCTCATGTTGAACCCACCCCACCCACACACACACACACAAAAATCATGGACGAGATGAGCGCCACGTCATCGCAAGTTATCTAGGGGAAACACTGGGGTGGTAAAGGTGAAGCACCCACACCTGTCTCCACCCACATTTGACCTGCTCTGGGCCCTTGAGCATGACCCTTAAACCCCCCCCCCCCCCCACACACACACACACACACAATCTGCTTCCCTGGGCACCCTAGATAGCAGCTCTCTGTTCTACACAGAGGGCTGTGGTAGCTCGGTGATCTGTGGTTGTGTCAGGAAGGACATCCAGCGTAAAAACAATTGTCAAGTCTTCATACGAGACAGTTCGCTGTGGCGACCCCTGAAGAAGGGAGCAGCCAAAAGAAGAAAAACATAAAAATTAAAAATTAAATGAAAACTGTGCAAGAGGCAGAGGACACCCTGGACACGTCTCCAGTCCATCACAGGGACAAATGGAGACAAATGAGACAAACAACCACTCACTCTCTCTCTTTCACCTAGGGACAATTTAGAGTTACCAATCAGTCTAACATTCATTCATTCATTCAACCTTTATTTAAATAGATAAGTCACATTGAGCCTTGAAGACTCATTTACAAGTGAGACCTGTTTGTTTCCTCTGAAAAGTTCATGGAAATTCCTCAGTAGGAAGGGGTTGAGCATCATGTTTACAAAACCTCCAGGCGGGTTGAGATAAGATGATCTGTCAAGGCCAGTCAGGGAGCCGAATTCAGATAAACACGATTGTTTTGGGGACAGGCAGAACTTTAATGACAGCTACTTTGAGTCTGTGTCAGTCCACTCAGTTCTGAAAAGTTCAAATTACATGGCCACACTAATGGACCGTGCCTGAGAATAATCCCCGAGATCTGATCCCTTCTGCCAAAAGCATTTCAGTCTGGGTACTTGAGGCACGAACCAAGCCATCATAAGGCAAGCAACATGATCAGGTCCAAATTAGCTGCCGACGACTTCCTTATTTGTTGATAGACCAGGAACCAGCCAAATCCAAAAAGCAGGAACCAGTTGTCATAAATCCAATTATAAATGTGTCCTTAAAATCCACAGATGATAGCAGAGATAGACACGTCATCAAGTCTTCAAAGTCGATGATATATCCAGCTGCGTGCGTGCCAACAGGGCAAATCGGCTCACCTAAAGCCAAATGTTTTCAATTGTGTTGCGGGACCAACTCATCAAATCAAGTTCATAGTTATGATTTGGAAGATTTGTAGACAGATCAAAAGCAAAGCAGAGAGGGAGAGGAGGAGACGTTCGCCCTTGAGAAGAGCAAGTGTTGAATTGATGCATGTTTTTGGTCTGTGGGAGGAAACTGGAGTACCTGGAGAAAACCCACGCAGCACAGAGAGAACATGCAAACTGCACCCAGAAAGGTCCCCGGCAACCTTCTTGCTGAGAGGTAGCAGCTCTACTAACTGTATCACCGTGCCGTCCCAAACTAAACCTTTTTAGAGAATCTCAGCTTGATGCCAACCTGACTGTCCTCCAGTATTCTGCCACTCTTCTCTGTAGATTTGAATAAATGAAAACAAATCCAGTTTAAATGACCCAGATATTTAACGTGTGCAGTTCAGAGCCACAGATCTGTCAAACGCAGCTGTAGTTCAGCTAACGTCAAGCTCCGGACTGATTTTGTTAGAGTGCATGCCACAAAAGTTTTATTAAAACGTAACCAAAGCCAAAAATGTTAACATTAAATAAAGTGTGTTTTAAGCATCTCAGTAGTGTTTAACAATAAAAACCTTAATTTTTCTTTACTCACCTGCAGCTGCATGACCACGTAGTTGAATTTGTCATTCCGACCACAGCCAATAAACTTACAGACATGGTTTTTACCTAAAAACAAGACAAGAACAAAAAAGTGACAGTTATTTAATTCACAAAAATGCAGAAATTGGCCAATTAAAATTAATTTAAAAAAAGGAAATAGCTTGAAATAATCTTTCCAAAGCTGCACTGTATAAATAATTTGTAAAGTTCCTTATCAGTCTAAAGAACACAGTAAGAGGCAGGCCTGTGGATAATTCTGATTAATGCCTTAGAGATGAGTCACTCTTATTAAAGAATAAATAGCTGATGACGGTGTCATGAGTCAGTGACATCAGCTCAGCTCAAAGCTGCAGAAATTCACCAGATAACGTGCAGCTTTCTGCAAAGGGAGCGCAGCCTCTCAGAATCTGTTTGTCTCCCAGATGAAACCTGAAGATTGTACCAACGTCTTTATTCAGAAGGGTCAAATGGATCTTTCCACAAATATAAATCAACTTGAACCTAAAAGAGTTTCAGGACTGTTTATTTAGTTGGCACATATCTGAGCATAAATCAACCACTTTCAAACTGTCAAGTTAGAGTAAGGTGCAGACTGAATGCTCAAATCAAATATAGATCTGCACATTTTACTGACAGCTTTAACAAAACGTGATGGGAGAAAAAAAACTGCTCAGTCACTTGGGTTTAAATTATTAACAGAGTGAGACAGGCTCTTTGCCGAAATCTGCAAGAGGTCCAATCTGTAGTGTCTTTTAAAGAGGTGGAGAACTGCTGGAGTGTGTTGGCCAACAGAAGAAAACTCCTCCAGGACAAAGTGGAAGCTGCTCAGATCATCCCAAAGCAACCAATCACGTGCTGCCCTAACACACGTGACGTGATGGCTGCACGGCTGTGACATAACACGGTTACATAATAACAATTCAACACTCATTTCTGGAATAAAAACCCAGAGTGTGGATAGACTTTACTTGCTACAGAATTTTTATTTTATAGTTTAGAAAAATAAATCCATCCATCCATTATCTTCTGCTTGTTCCAAAGTAAGGTCTCGGGGGCAGCAGCTTGAGCAGGGAGGTCCAGACATCTCTTTCCACAGCCTCTTCCAGCGCTCCTGGAGGATTCCAAGGTGTTCCCAGGCCAACTGAGAGACATAGTCTCTCCAGCGTGTCCTGGGTCTTCCTCGGGGTTTCCTCCCAGTCAGACATGCCTGAAGCACCTCCCTAGGGAGGCATCCAGAGAACATCCTTACCAGATGCTGAACCACCTCAACTGGCTCCTCTCGATGTGGAGGAGCAGCGGTTCTACTCTGAGTCTCTCCTGATAACTGAACTTCTCTCCCTATCTCTAAGGGAGAGTCCAGCTACCCTGCAGAGGAAACTCATTTCAACCTCCTGTCTCCACAATCTCATTATTTCGGTCACTACCCAGAGCTCATGACCACAGGTGAGTGTAGGAACGTAGATTGACTGGTAAACAGAGCTTTGCCTTACTCTTCACCACAACGGACTGGCATAGAGTCCACAATACTGCAGACTCTGCACCAATCCATCTGTCAATCTCACACTCCATTCTTCCCTCACTTGTGAACAAAACCCCGAGATACTTGAACTCCTCCACTTGAGGTATAACCTCACTCTCAACCTGGAGAGGGTGATCCACCCATTTCTGGATGAGGACCATGACCTTACATTTGGAGATGCTGATTCTCATTTCCAACCATTTCACGCTCGGCTGTGGACTGCTCCAGTGAGAGCTGAAGATCATGGCACGATGTCACCAACAGGACCACATCATCTGCAAAAGAGCAGAGAAGGAATCCTGAGGCCACCAAACTGGACTCCCTCTGCCCCCTGGCTGCACCAAGAAATTTTGTCCATGAAAGTTGTGAAGAGCATCAGTGACAATAGGCAGCCCTGGAGAAGTCCAACTCCCACTTCGCTTGTGCAGGGAACAAACAGCCCGTAGCACCGGGGCCCCAATCCCATACTTGCATAGCACCAACCACAGTGTACCTTGAGGAACACGGTCAAATGCCTTGTCTAAGTCCACAAAACACATGAAGACTGGATGCACAAACTCCCATGACCCCTCGAGGACCCTAGTGAGAGGAAAGAGCTGGTCCAGTGTTCCACGGCCAGGACGGAACCCACATTGTTCCTCCTGGATCTGAGGTTGGACCAATGATTGGACTCATCTCTCCTGTACCCCTGACTAGACCTGACCAGGGAGGCTGAGGAGAGTGATGTCCCTATAATTGGAGCACACCCTTCTTGTCCCCCTTTTTGAAGAGGGAGAAGAAAAAAATATATATAATTGTTTAAAGGTCCAGATTGTGTACTACAAAGAAACCAGAACCAGAGCTCCAGCTCTAAATACAGTTTCCCATTTAGTCTGTATTTTTATGTAGCATATGATAGTTGAATAAGAAGCTTTTCATTCTTCCTATACAAACTGAGGCACTCAAGTGTTTATTTTTTGTCAAAAACAAAACTGTAAGTAGTCAGTTGTTACCAATGCTCATATGCAGACATCAACACAGACTTCAGTTTGAGACTCCTTCACACTGATGACAGTGGTGCTAAAGTCTTCACAACATAGTTTGTACTGTGCAAGAATGGGCTAAGTTCACTAGCACATTGATAACACCACTGCTATCAAGTCTGCAATGGGTTGTTTGCCTAACCATTGTCACAGCCTGAGCGTGAGGCCTGCATGGACAGTCTTGCTTCACATGCTCAACATCAAGCCGTACCTGAAGACCTGACCAAGACCCTGCAAAGACCTTCATGTTCTGGTCTATGTTGTGTACGGCCGTCGTCTAAACAGATCTGTAGCTAAGGCAGATGCACCACAGTGTTCCAGTCCAGGATCTACCCAGCAGGTGATAATGAGATAAACTGCTTGGAACCCATTCGAACGGAAAAAAAAAAAAACCTTAAGCAATTTTCACCAAACATTTTTGCATAGGTTTAATCCCTTGAGGATATACTGTTTGAATATGAATAAAATCTAATCTCTTCCCTCAGTATCACTTCAAAACAAGTGTTCTTATTTACAGCATTTCATTTACTCTGCTCACAATAGAGCACGTAGTCCAATGTCTGTTGTTTCAGTAGGCACTTTTACAAAACAACAACTCTTCAAAATGACCGCAAAGACCGATACTCTGTCTTTATGTTGCATCTGGTCAGTCACGTCCTGATTTACCTGCTGGAACTGTCAGAGAAATGTTGTGTGGACCTTCCCCAAGTTGTGCTCCATAAAATGGCCCTGAACCGACTGAAGTATCCTGCAAGTAAAGTGCACAGCTCGGCCCAGAAGTACAAAGTTCAAGGACTGAGCCATGTGGTACACCTTATTTTTTTGTTGTTGTTGTTGCTGCCTTTTTTTCCCTCTGTCTGTAGCAAAGACCTACACTGCTGCAGAATATCTCATATAAAGACGTTCTTTGGGTCAAGTTTTTATCTAATCAAACATGTTATATGGTTTATAGGGGATGTTTGCATGCTAAGGGATTACCTTCTTAATCTTCCCAGATACACAACAGGGAATAAAATATTTGGAGGAAAAGCATTTCCAAGCTGATTTAGTATGAGTTGTGAGGCTTATGAAGAAGATATATCTCCATGAGCATGTCATGTTGTCAGTTTAGCTCCAGTACAGATTGACTGACTGATGGTCAGTGTGGATTTAAATGTTCATAAATGAGTCTTTACTCAAAATGACATGGACAATTTATTACAACTGTTTTTCACCAGATTAAAATGGTTTCTTCTGATAATGACTGTTGCGTGCCGTTTTCAGGAGTTGCTTTCATTCTGAGCTGTGTATTTTCTCACCAGTTGGTTCAACACAGTTTAACACACCTGTGGTTTGACATGTACAGTGCATCACAGGCATGAAAAGAGTTCAATCAGCAGCAGCTGTCAATCAATTTGTAGAGCAAGATAACATACATGTACAAGAATCTAATTGTTACTTCACAATGAATTTATCTTTGTTTATTTTATTTTGCAGCAGTCCCAGCTGAATGAATGCAGCTCAAACTTTAGTTTTCTGTAACTAGACATTATTATTTGATTTGAATAAGACGGTTTTAAAGTGAAACAGGTCCTCGAGGCTCAATGGGAACTAACCTGTATAAATAAAGGTTAAATGAATGAAAAAAACATAAATCACAGAAGAAGACAGTCATGTCCTGCATTGACGTGTCCTTCTAATAATGAATTGATCATTGTGGAACCAAAAGAGCAGAACTTCATTGTTAATGTGAAGTGTGATGCAGTAAATATATAGGGGAGTGGTGGCACAGAGGTTAGAGAAGGTAGGTCTGTGATCGGAAGGTCGCCAGCTCAACTCCCCAGACCGACAACATCAAAATGTGGGTGGAAAAGGTGAAACACCCACACCTGCCTCCACCCTCATTTGGACCTCATTTCTTGCTCAAGGACCCACTCTGTACATTATGTAAGCTCAATCATCCAGGGAGATAAAACACAACAAAAGGTCATCTGGACAAGTTTCTTTAAAGGAGAAATATTTTGTCTTTCATCTGGAGGACTTTGTCAGTCTGTGTGTGGTCTACCAACCACATCTGTCCCATAAATAACCCTCACTGATGTGTTTCAAGCCAACCTCCTGTTGAATTCCCAGAAACCAGCTTCTAACACATGCAAAAAAGGACCCATCCGTCGAAAGCAATCAACATGCATAACAATCAAATGTTTTAGGCCAGACAGCAATTGAAACACATCAATGAGGCTTATTTATGGGACGGATGTATAGTTGGCAGGCCACAGACTGATGAAGTCTTTCAGAGTAAGTCAGAGATTCTTTATTGTCGTTCCACCACGTGTTACAAGTGGTGGAACAAAATTATGTACACAGGGTCCCAGTTGTAAAAGAAAAACAGTAATAACATCTAAGATATGAGTTAAGAAAAACACCAACTAAAAATACGCTAAGCACCAATAGCATATAAACATTATGTCAAACAGCAGCACGAACATGAACATGAGTCTGTGTGAGCAGATGAGCACGCATGAACACATCAACATAAAATAGATCAGCAGCAACATGAAAGCGGGAGCGGGGCAAAAAGTGTGTGTGCTGGGTGAGTGGGGTCCTTCATGATGCAAGTGGCCCTCTTCCTGCATCTGGAGGTGTAGATGTCTGTGATGGTGGGGAGTCTGACTCCCCACCATCTGCACCTTCTGTGCAGCCTTCACCACTCTCTGCAGATTCATCTCTTTTGATGAAAGACAAAATGTTTCTCCCTTAAATAAACTTGTCCAGATGACATGACTGATCCTTTTATGTGGTACGACACTGTGGACCATAGTATCCTCCTTCACCATCTTCATGTGGAGGTCTGTCTCTGTGAAACTGTTCTGGACTGGTTTAAATCTTTCCTCTCCAATAGGCTGGAATGTGTTAGTCTTGGCAATGCCAAGTCCCAGACTGTCTGTGTCTCCTGTGGTGTCCCTCAAGGGTCAGTTCTAGGGCCCCTTCTATTTTCCCTGTACATGCTGCCTTTAGGTCAAATTATTAATCAGTACAACATTTCTTTTCACTGTTATGCTGATGATACACAGCTTTACATCAGGACTGGAGCATCATCTTCACCATTGTCATCTCCATCTTCACTCACTGCCCTCTCTGCCTGCCTGGAGGAGATAAGGACATCAATGAATCAGAACTTTCTTCAGTTAAACTGCTCCAAAACTGAGGCCATACTGATTGGCACCCCTCACCAGGTTCAAACTTCAACTATAACAACTATTTCCTTTTCTGGACAAGACATCCCCCTCTCTGTTACAAATCTTGGAGTAAGAATGGACTCTCATCTTACATTTGAAAATCACATTAAGCATCTGTTTAAAACCTGTTTCTTCCATCTTCGAAATATCTCCAAACTTCGCCCATCTCTCACTTTTGCTGATGCAGAGTAAATCGTCCATGTCTTTGTCTCCTCCAGGCTCGACTACTGCAACTCCCTGTTTACTGTTTACAGGAATACCTGGCAAAAACCTTCAGAAGCTTCAATATATTCAAAACAGTGCAGCCAGGATTTTATTGAGAGCTCATAAATTTGAACCAATTACACCCATTCTCCATAACCTCCATTGGCTTCCTGTCACCTACAGAATTCAGTACAAAATTGCTCTCATCAGTGTTTAAACGGAACTTCACCAGATTATCTGAAGGACCTTCTTGCTCCATGTTCATCCACCCTACGATCACAGAACAGTCATCTCCTCCACCTTCTATGAACTAAATTAAAGACCAAGGGAGATCAGACATTCTGTGTGGCTGCCCCCCACCTCTGGAACTCCCTCCCTGAATATCTGAGAGCTCCACAATCACTGACTGACTTTAAAAAAGGCTTAAAGACTTTTCTTTTTAAGCAAGCATCTTCTGCCTCCACATGATTGTATCATTGATTTTAGTTGCACTTTGTAGCACTTTGAGATTTTTCTTAATGAAAAGTGTGTTAAAAATTAAATTAAATATTATTAATGTTATTATTACTAGTTGAGCAAGGCCCTTAACCCCCACCATCTGCTCCCAAACAGGTAACTCTTGAAAATGAGTTCTCGTAACTCAGTGAGACTACCTGAATAATTAAAGGTAAAATTATAAAAAAGGTAAACTTCCCCTTCGGATCTTTTTCAAAGCATGATGAATTAACGCAGTTTATCTGAGGTCTTGGCTCCATTACTGCCTTGTGTCGCGACACAAAGGCACATCAGGGGTGGGATGGCTTCGACCACCCTCATCACCTCGGTCCATTCAGAAATCACGCCAAAGCGACTAGAAGGCATCTAAATCCCAGCTTGTAGTAATTTGTGGGAGTCTTTGAATAGCAGTTTAAATACAACATGCGTGTTGACCTTAGGGGTGAGTGATATGGTTCAAATATAATATCGTGATATTTCAGAGCATTCTGACGATAACGATAAATTTTGCGATATAAAAAAAAAAAGCATATTTATTTATGTGACAAAATTAACTTAACATGTTGTTTTGCAGTATTACATAAAATAAAAAAACAAGGGGTAATTTTACTGAAATTACTTTATTTAGTAAAGTATTCAGTTTCTAAGTATAAAAATAAAAATGATCCTTCTGTTATTTAGATTGAAAAAGTCTGCACAAATAGATCAATAAATCCACAAAAACTAAAGTGCAGGTGCAGTTTCCCAAAATAACTAAATAAAATTAAAGCTTAAGTTCTGTTGAGCATAAATGTAACATACAACAAAATATATGTTGTCTTTAAATGAGCTATAACTTCCAGAAGTTGTAACAAGGTGATCATCTGCCCCTGAAGCTTGTGGAGTTTCAGCTTCCTCTGTTCCTGCAGGAATGATCCATTTCTCTGATGCTCCGTCTCTGATCACATGACTCTGTTCTTGCTCCGTGGACTGTGGAACGAGACAGACCTGCGCGTGTTTGTACCGACAGTTTAGAGCGGGGGAGACGCAGCCTCCACCGGCAGCTCCAAGCGGAGTGGGGAGAAGAAAAAAAGACGAGTGGCAGCTTAGAGCGGGGGAGGGAGAGACAGTTGAGCTGTCTGTACCTGCAGTTTAGAGCAGGGGAGGGAGAGACAGTTGAGCTGTCTGTACCTGCAGTTTAGAGCAGGGGAGGGAGAGACAGTTGAGCCAAGCGTCGTTTGTTTTTAGCTAGCTAGTATTGCGCGCAGCTAATTAGCGTCACACCAGTACCGACAGGTCAACCACAGATGATCCAGTGGTTAACAGGACGGTGCAACAAGCAATCTGCCATCTTTCCATCTTAGATACACTTTTTACTAACTGGCATTTTAGAATGTATGTGAGTGTTTTTGTACAGTGCCCTGAGATATGACGCTTGTTGTGGACTGGTGTTGTAGGAAAAAAGAAAGTAAAGAAGGTTGGTACAGTATGAACAACAACATACTGCGTCACAACGGAAGAGGAGGACAACAAAACCATGGGAGTGTAAATTGTGCTTCAGTAAGTACTTTAACACAACTCGCACTAAGAGGCTGTTTTAAATGTAACAGGAAGTAGAACCTGTTTATTCTTGTTCCACTGATCAATAAGTTCTGATGATGTACACTAATGTACTAAACCAACAACGTGATGCATGTAGAAATATAAAGACATCCAAGCATGTCTACAAACAAACTGTATGAAATGGGTTTTGTTTGCACAACTTTTCCACTTTTCATTCAGTATAAATGAAATAACGACACTGACGACATGAAAACTGTTAGAAGTTTAGCTCAAGAAACAAAGCCAGTAGGTTCAAAGTTGTATTTTGTTGTTGGAAATAAAATGGTTTTAGCTTGAAGAGTGAAAGTTTCAGTTTCCGTTAATAAATTCTCCGATCTTAAAGTTTTCAGAGCACATTTAAAGTGTGTGAGCAGAGTAACGACGTGGCAGCTCTTACCCTGCAGCTTCTTCAGTACTGCCACCTCCATCTTCAGCACCTGCTTCGGCTGCTGGGCTGACTCCACCTTCAACGCCACGTTCTCCCGTGTTAGCAGGTCCAAGGCCTCGTAAATCTCCCCAAACCCACCCCCACCAATCTTCTTCAGCTACGAAACACAACGTAAGACAGTGACAAGAAGAAATCACATTTTGTCAGTATAAAGATGAACAGAACTAAAATCATCCAGAAAATCTCCACAACTGATTTTTCAGTCGTCGTCTTTTTTCTAAAACGAAAAAAATTAGTTTAGATATAAAAAACATGTATTTTCTTTGTTATATATTTAAAAACATTACTTTCAATTAATTAGTTCAAAGTTTCACCTTTATTTTTGACTTGTCTAATTCTAAATATTTGTTTATGATGCATGGTAATGTTATTTTTACTATTTTTAATAATCCAACAGAATCAGCATATTAAAAAATAAATAAATCTAAAATTCATCTAAAACATTGTGAGGGAAGTCTGAGAAGAATAAGGTCATATAAAATATGATCATTTCACACTCTGGTTCTACTCGAGCTTTCTTTTCTAGTATAAAAATCCTACAGTTATTAGTTTTTTTATTCAACCTTTATTTCTACAGGTTAGTCACAGTGAGTCACGAGGACTCATTTACACGAGAGACCTGATTTAAATCGAATAAGATTAATAATAAAACAAAGTAAAATACTAAAAACAGGAACGTGTCTGCATTGATTCATACATTGAACTTAACAATAGTTTAAAATCCCTTAGAGAAGTCAAAGTAAGCAGCTTCAGATACTTTTTAAAGGTGTTCCAGGTTACAGGAGCGGAGTAAGTTTAATAAAGTATTAGCGTTTGTTAATTTATATTGATCCTGTTAAGGCTCAAATCATTTGATTGGTTGGAAAAACAATAAATAATTAAAATAAACAAATTCAGAGAAATTACTGCCTATACATTTTATTTTGTACATTTTAAAACATATATCATTTTTTGTATATCTACTATTAACTTGACATTCATGCAGATTTTTTTTTTATTCACACATATAATGTTTAAAATAAAAAAGATGGATATATGTATATGAACGATTAATAAAAATGTTTAAAAATTTCCCTAAATGTGTTAAATAAGTATTTACTGAAAGCGTAGGTAAAACTAAAAGAAAAAACCAGATTTCGCACAAAGTATCTGTGCAGACTGTGAACCGACAGGCCTTGTTAAGTTTGGAGCCTCACCACTTTCCACCGGTCTTTGACCATGCAGTTCGGCGGCAGGATGTCGGCCTGCTCAGACGTCCCGTTCATGTTGCCGTTGTCCTGGTGGCCGGGGACTAGGCACTGCATCTGCCAGCCAGACAGAACTCGAGCAGCTCCAAGCTTAAAAGAGCCATTTATCTGTGAGGGCGAGGGAGCAGGTAAGGAAAGGAAGTAAGAAAGGATGAACAGAAAAGTGAGACCAAACACTTTATCTTCTTGGTACAAGTCCAAGTTTATGTAGAGCTCTCTGCTGATAAAAAATACAGCAGTCCAGAATAACAACAGGCACTAGATAATGGCTGACTGCCATTTGAAGCCATTCTTCAGCTGGATCAGGCTACAGGCTGGTAGGGGGGTTGCAACTGGCATTGTGTAGGGGGGAGGGTGTATGATGGTATTTGCAGTAACTTGAGCAAATATCATTTCTGCAGAGGAAGCAGCTGGACAATGTGCTCTCATCCTGACTGCAGGCTGCGGCCCGACAGCAATGAACTGCGCCTTAATGACCATCTAAACTAAGAACCACGAGCATGGCAAAGGGACAGATTCGGTTATGGTTTGATGGGGTTCAAGACAAGCAGCTCAAATGATGCTAACTACGCAGCCCAACCATCTGAGGGAAATGACTGCACTTGTTCCACTGTTGCTGAGAAGAATTTGCATTAACTCACAAAACTTAAAACCATTAGCCTAGCTTAGCATAAAACTCCAAATGGGTAAATGTCTAACCTAGATGAGTCAAAGATTACACAAACTACACATGTGTAATGAGAAGCATTATGTAATAGTACAGCAATCTGTTGAATTTACCAAATGAACAGTAGTCATAATTTTAGGATGTTATGAGTTATATTTGTTCAAGAATAGGCCTGTCACGATAACAAATTTTGCTGGGCGATTAATTGTCTCAGAAATTATTGCAATAAACGATAATATTGTTTGAAATTTGACCATAATTAGTAATTATGGTCAAATTTAAGAAGAAATGTTGGTTAATTTTGTGTGTAGTTCCTTTTATCGACCACCGGATGGCAGTATAAGACTGTCGGAACCGAAGGATGGCTAGTAAGGGAGCGAGCAGTGTGTCTCTTTAAAAAAAAATGGGAGAGAGGCCCCTTGACGTGACATGGGCTGTCTCTCTCGTTCCTGTTTTCAGTTCTCAAAATGGCGGATGCTCGTTGTGGTTTGAGCTCTTTAGCATAGCATTTGTCACACAAAGCTTTTAATAAAAAAAGGAGTAAAAAAAGTTCTCAGCTTCTTTTTCAGAGAAAAACAACTTTTTAGATGAAGTCACGGATTTCAACCGTGAATTTTGGCGTTTCGACAAGACAAAGGTTTTTCTCCCCAGGTCTGCCTGTTAGCTTAGCTTGTAGCTTAGCTTCTCAGCTTAGCTGCTTTTAACGATCCAAAAACACGGTTTTGGACGGTTAAAACAGATTTTAAAGAGAAAAGAGAAAGGGATGAGTCAGTGAAGAACACTGAGTCTTCTGTCCAGTAGAGAGACACGAAGAAACGATAAAGCCGATAAATGAAAACGAGGTCAATAATTTCCATTTATCATGTAATTAATTGATTTATTGTTTATCGCAACAGGCCTAGTCAAGAACTGAAAAGACTGTAGGACGTTTCTGTTTCCTGGTAAGAAACAAACCATAACAAACCCCGTCTTTGTTGACAAAGAACAATCCGTCCAGAGGACGTGACTTAACTTGTTACATTTTTCTACCTGGATTATTGAGCATGCATCGGGACATAACAGACCCCCTACATATGACCAACAATTTTATTTAAAAAAAAAGTTAAAATATGACTTTATAATACATTATATGGGCTACAGAAGCAAATGTTCATGCATATAAATAAATGTATCTTGAGTTTCCCTGAACTTATTAGTGTTTAGGCTAAAAAACAGTAGCCAACCACTATGTCCTCACCACAACAAGCAGGACGACGGCGTTACCCTGAAAATGAAGTCAAACTTGACGTGTGCCTCAAAATAAAGATCCATTACTTTAAGGAATAAACTCCACTATTTTATACTGAAACTGTAATACATGGAAAGCTGGAGTCACGTTGGTAAATATTCTCTTTTTATTTGAAACATAGTTTTGGGAAGGGTAGAAAGTTATTGAGGATTTCTGTCACTACAACAGTCTGTTTCTGTAAATGGTGTTCAGTTGTGCAAATACAACTTTGGAACTAATAAGAATGCGGGGCGTGTCACTGACAACACATTTTTAGGTGGTCAGTTTTTCTTAACAGGTTAAAGTTCCCTGTAAAATAAAGCAGATGTTATTCTGAGCTGACCTGACAGGTGGTTGATCAATAAAGTGCTGAACTACTAACATCATATGTGCTGCATTTATCGTACAGCAAGTGCATACAATTTGTTGATATACTGTATAACAATACTTTTTGTTCTCCAGTCAGTCAGCCTGAACTGAACTCTGGCATCTACAGCCTATCTGCCATGAATGGTTATCAGTTTTCAGTGGATTCATGGTGAAATTTAAAGTTCAAAATGATGCATGTCAGTCCCCAAATCATGCTGTTCTGCATGCAGTGCCACGGGCCATCATTAGTGCATGCAGAGCTCAGGCGGACTGCAGATAAGAATGGCGTGTCCTCTGTATTTCTGGTCAGACCAGCCCTCGAAGAGGACTGGACCGACTGCAAAGGAAGGGAGGAGGCTTCTCTGCATCTTCAGTGATACAGCTCACTCTAGCAGCAGCATTGCCATCATCCAGCCGGGAATCACTGCAACACTGGAGATGTAGTGAAATCTGCTGCAGTGCTCAAGGTGCTGCTGAGACATCAGTCACTGCAGTGGACAGGACCACACAGTCCCACAGAATCCACAGCAACAGTCTTGCAAAACTATGACCACATGGGGAACGAACCAGCCAATTAGGACTGTAGAAGGAAAATAATGCTTTCTCACATAGCCACAATATTGATAATCTCAAACACAGTGATCCTGGATTATGTTTAGAGTTGCTGAACAAAAATAAAATGATGAACCACAATATCCATGTAATTCCCCTGCCCACTGGATGACAATCCCACATCCTAGTTAACAGATTAGAATGAGGCAAATTTGAAAACCCAACGCCAGTGTGAAAGACGACACATTATTACCAAGTTCATTCATGATAGGACCACACCTCGGGCCTTGTCCTGACATGACTCTGTCAGGATGTGCAAGGATGCACCTATGTGCTACAAGTTCTCACCACACTGACAGGTTGCTACCTCAACATGTATGACATGTGTGCATGATGGGTCAGGGCCTAGACAAGAAGATAGGGTAACTAGTCCAGCTTCAACATGTAGATGAGTGTCTGCCCCATTGCTCCACCCAGTAATCCTGGTACATCGTCACTTGGGCTGCACAATATATCAGAATTTTATCGTCATTGCAATGAACATCAATTTTATAGATATATTGCACTATTTCAATTTCACAAAGGACTGCTTGAACTGCAATAAATCATAAGATAATTATATCTCAAGTATCACATGTTCATTTTCTGCTGCTAATAATATATTTGGTCAATCCAACAAACTCTCTCTGGACTTGATGCCAACACCTGGTTTAGATGATTGTTAGGACTAAAGAGAGTGTGAGGAGGAGAAAAATAGGGTTAATTTTAATTGATATTATCAACAGTAATAGTTTTTCAAGTTTTTCGTATATTGTGCAGCCCTAGTTGCCAAAACAAAAATAAACCATCCACTTTTTGGCAGTTTTTTTTACACTTAACTGGGATCATCATCCAGTGTGACAGAGAGCCTGAAACTACAAAATCCCTGAGAAAGTTCCTCATTGTTGGGTTCAGCTTTCCTTCATACAACCATAACTAATAACTCTATTTGAGTGCCTTTATATTAAATCAAATACTGTATATAGTATACTATATAGTATATAAATTATATTTTTAATTATCAATATCATTATTTATTTATATTTATTTATTTTTTATTTATTTTTGTCCCATCTTGTTGTCACAGTAAAACTTTTTGTCAATACAGAATAGCTTAAAACATTACCAGTAGTTTGCAAAGTACAGATAAGTTATGTATTGAATACTGTGTTTTAGTACAACTTTGTGTAGTTTATAATTTATTAATATAAAACATAATATAGTTGTGTGACTTTTTTATTTACTACAAAAACTGAATTTATGCATATTAAAGTAAAATGAATTGTGCTAGTCAGTTGTACTTCAGCCAAATCATGCCGTCATTTTGTACCACGTGGGTGACATTTGCTAATAAGGTACAAAAATATCACTTTCCACTACGTATCCGTGCATGCATACGACCCTATAAGCATGTATCATTATAAGCACTACTTCCACACAGCCCTGCACAGAATCAAGCTTTGCTTTATGTCATAATCAAAAATAATATACATCACAACTGTAACATGCTTATCTTTGTAACAAATATTTAGGACAAGTAAACGCTTGATAAAACAGTACGTGTTTCTACATTATGTTGATAACTGCCTGCCCTGTGCAAGCAGGTACTGGCTCAGCGGAAGTGCATAAAAACACACGTGCCGGATGACGGATAGCAAAAAAGGGAGGTAGCTAAGGCAAAGCGGAAGGCGTACGATGAGTTATATGGGAGGCTGGACACTAAAGAGGGTGACTTGTACCGATTGGCAAGACAGAGGGATCAGGCTGGAAAGAATGTGCAGCAGGTTATGCTTGTTAACGATAGGAATGGTAATGTTCTAACAAGTGAGGAGAGTGTGATGAGAAGATGGAATGAGTACTTTGAGGAGCTAATTAATGAAGAGAATGAAAGAGAAATAAGATTAGAGGTCATAGAAACTGTGGACCAGGAAGTGGGAAAGATTAGTGAGGGTGAAGTTCAGAAAGCTCTGAAAAGAATGAAGAAGGGAAAGACAGTAGGACCTGATGACACCAGTGGAGGTTTAGAAATGTCTTGGAGAGATAGCAGTGAAGTTTCTGACTCAAATATTCAATGACATATTTGAGGGAGAGAAAATACCTGAGGAATGGAGAAGTGTGTTGGTGCCCATTTTTAAGAAGAAGGGTGATGTACAGAGTCGTAGCAACTACAGGGGAATTGAGATGACACAGTGAAGACCTGAGAGAAAGTTGTGGAAGCTAGACTTAGACAAGAGGTGACTATCTGTGAGCAGCATGCCAAGAAAGAGCACCACAGATGCCGTCTTTGCTTTGAGAATGTTGATGGAGAAGTACAGAGAGGGTCAGAAAGAACTCCATTGTGTCTTTGAGGATTTAGAAAAAGAATACAACAGGGTGCCGAGGGAGGAGGTGTGGTGTTGCATGAGGAAATCTGGAGTGGCAGAGAAGTACGTTAGACTGGTACAGGACATGGATGAGGACAGCAGGACAGTGGTGAGATGTGCTGTAGGCGTGACAGATAGCTTCAAGGTGGAGGTGGGAGTGCATCAAGGATCAGCTCTGAGCACCTTCTTGTTTGCTCTGGTAATGGACCGACTAACAGAGGTCAGGCAGGAAGCCCCGTGGACTATATATGCAGATGACACTGTGATCTGTGGTGAGAGCAGGGAAATAGTAGAAAAAGAAGCTTGCCAATTCTTTGATTTTTCAAGAAATATGGTATACAAGGTAGAGAATTATGGCGAGTACGTAAGTCCGACGTTCTCTTTGAGTCATTATTCTGAGGCTCATGTTTGTCCTCTATGCACTCAAGCAATATCACACTACACTAAATGTCAACTTAACCATTTATGATGTAAATTATCTGTAGCACTGATGGAGTCGAGAGCTAATTTTGTGTTTGCTGAGGTCAATAATCTGTGGTGACTGAGAATCCTAAATTAGGATGACTTCAAGTTGAGTGGGTACAAACCGGACTGAGCTGATGCAGACACCTTCCTTTTGTCTTCAAAATGTTTGGGTACAAAATGACCAAGGCTGCAGTGGTATGATTTGGTAGAAGTACAAATTGACATGGAGCTGTAATATCACAACGATAATAGTAAAGAATAAAACTACAATATTTACTATAGATGTTTAGTATTACACGGTATTTGTGTATGTCATTTCAGAAACTAGCATGGTTTCATATTTTACTTCTTGTTTTTCCTAAATATTATAAAATTATATATTTTTTTCATTATTCAAAGTATAATCTTTATTGAAAAGTATATCATGTTCATACATTTTGTGTATAAAGCAAACTGTGTGGTCCAGCAGCAGAAACTTTTGAACTGTGACAGTGTCCCAGCAGCAGATTGAGGCGAAACATCCTGGACAATACTTCCCCATACTATCAAACCTCTTTTCTTCTTCGTCTAAATGTTCACTGACTTATTACTGCGTAGAAGGTGGAATGTTCTGCCAGTAGCTAGTTTTGCATCATTCCAGTTTTGATTTCATGAAGTCGCTCAGAGCTCACCATATTTCTGAGCTCCTGGAAAATCTGATGCTTTACAACAAATCCTGAGTGGGACAAAACCCTTCCTTTTCTTGTGTCAGCCTACAAGCCAAAGCAGAGGGCACAGTTAACCATCAGTGGAGGAGAGAAAGGACAGTGGCTGACCACTGCAGTCGCCTGCCCTGCCGTCATTGAAGGGGCAAAACATGAAGGGAGATGACTTTATACATTATATTTACACCTTCAAATCCTCAGACAGCACATACAGTTGGTAGTAACAATAACAAGAAAGTATTCCTTTATCATTTCCATGTAATACCAGATTCACCAAGATGATACAACTGCAACACAGTAATTGTTTTGTGACGAGCACTGACAACCGCAAGGACTTTGTTACATGTCCAGGTAAAACACTGACTACAGAAGCAGTCCAGCACTCAGCAACGACATTCTGATGGTGAACATGTTCTCCTTTAACTGCCATGACAGCCTTGGTCCATGAAGGATGGACTCCGAGGGCCTTCTGAATGTCTTCTGTGATGTTCAGTGTCCAGAAGTCAGGAGAAGATTCTGTGAAGGTCACATTATTGTCATCAAATATATATCACGAGAAACCTGGACGTCAACTTAGTCCTGGTGCCGTTTAATGGAAAAAGCACAACATTCATAAACGACGTATGCGCTTAAGTTTGAAAATTGGTTTTTATTTTGTGATATTTGCAAAGTGTATCCTGTTTTGGATTATTCAGTCGTCTGGATCTCCAACAAACTAAAGCTGCTGGCTGACTCTTGCTTGTGCACCGTCACTTTAAAATGATGGCAGGAATTGTGTGCTGCTTCACTAGCTGAAACAATAACCAAGCACCAAGTGTACGAGGTGACTGGGTGTCAGTTCTGTTGCACACAGCTGATCATACACTCACAATGGACAACTATAAACTAAGCCTAAGTCCAAGAAGTTGCAAAGTGGGACCTTTGTGGGTCTAGAGCGTTCATCAGATGCTTGAGGGTCTGAGAACAGAAAACATTAGAGCCAAAATCGACATCCCAAAGTCTTTGTTGTGTTTAGAAAAAAATAAACCAGATTTTGACGTATGGTGCGGTACATCTGAGGTGGTGATGACAAATCTTCCTCTATAGAACGCACGTTTCTTGCTTGGCTCAAGATTTTCACAAGTTTTCCTTTGACATTTTTTAAATATTCTCCTCTCAGTTATTACTGTATTTTCAGCCTGTAAGTCGCAGTTTTTTTTTTTTTGCATAATTTGCATGCCCTATGACTTATACGCCGAAGCAACTTATTTATGTTTTTCACGATATTTAAAAACCAATTTTGGGCTGAGATAAGACCGATTTCATTCATTCTGACTGAAAATATAGAACACTACCATTTTCAGCCACTAGATGGCACGCAAGTAGTATGGCATGCCGTTGTGTCATGTAAAAGGTAAAAGTGGCTATTAATGACACAATCGGCTTGCCATACACTGCCACCTTCATCCAGCTCGCCTGGAGCAAAATCAGCTGCATTTTGCTGCACTGTCCCGGTGAAATGCAGCTGTGTTGACCATTAAAGTGCATTTATTAAGGAAAAGTTAGACTGAGACACATTTTGCTATGAATTCAAGCAAACAAATAATTATTTTTAAGCGTTAATCGTGTTAAATTCTTAATAAAGTCCTCCCGTGCACGATCCCACGGCCGCCATTTGGCAGTCCATCGATTTTTGGCACAACACAGGCCCACATTTCTGCGTGGTCAGCAGATGCGACGTATTTATGGATTTTTCCACTTTTTTAGACTGGACTGATGCGACTTATAGGGCAGAGCGACGTGTACGGCGGAGAATACGGTAACTTTTTCAGCACACCATCAAAGTGTACTGGATCAGAATGAAGAGACGCAGATGCATGGAAACACTGGCAAACTGGCCTCATTGTTATTTTGCTTTCTACCACATAAATTGAAAGTAGGCATGCACAAAAAAATGCATGCATGTTGTCGTTTTTCAAAAGTTTCATATTTCAAGTCCACGTGGGTAGAGCAAGATGATGATACAAATTGTAGCTAAACTTGTATCTGTTGGTGAATCGGACATTACATGGAAAAGGCGAACAACAGAACAGTTTGTAAGGGATTAGACGGTTGTGTGTCCCTGGACCAGCACGAGCGGGATTTAAAAACAGCACATGAAAAGTAAACAAACATGGACGCAAAGAAACGAAGACAAATATCCAAAGTTACAGATTTAAATATAGAACATATCCAGATCATGATACTGACTACAGAATCAATATTATCGTTTGTCAATTTAAAGATTATTTTGTATTTTGCATTTGTCTAGAAAGAAATCCCAGTGAGGTCTGTTGGAAAAATCATTTAATTCCTTTTTATAAAACACTCAAAAGAGTTAAACCCCACATAATCTATTAAAAACAACAACATTTAAACTATAAAAAATACTGACTATATAGAACTTGTGGGGAAAAAGCAGAAAATACAAACATTTAGTTAACACAAAACAAACATAAGAGTGTGAAAGAACATATACATTTATTATAAAAAACAATCATATTCATTAAATTTGTCCATAGCTCAAACAAAAAGTAGTAAAAACAAATTATGGAAGCTAAACTGAGCAGACTATTAAAATAATTATTGTCTCTATTAACACACACACAAAATAAATAAATAAACAAATAATAATTAATGAGTGCAAATAAAGTGAGAAAAAGAAATGAAGCCTGTGGTCCAGGTCTAAGACCCCCCCCCCCCCTTCCCCCGCATCACTTGTTCAATCTTTCCTCTCTGCAGTGCACAGTCATGGGTCCTCTGTGCGCATGCGCACCATCACATCCAGCTAATCAATAAATCTGTCCCGGACTGACCCACGAATTAAACATCATCACAATCTGAGGCTGAAAGATTCAGAGGATCCATTCTAATCACAGGTTTCTGATCCGGATCAATGAATCCTCGTCCACTGGCCTCACACACACGCGCACACGCACACAGTCCAACCCAAAGCTGGTCCGGATCAGGCCTACCTGGCGCACCGTCCGCTCCTTTTCCGCCTTTTGGGAATCTTCATCTGGGATTTTCCTGCGGCACAAAACGTTCTGGTCCAGAAACCCCACCGTTCCTCTGAGGGGGGCCGGGGTCTGGGCCTCAGACTCCCACAGGACTAAACCATTTATTCCTCCTCCCAGTCCTGGACAGGCCTGGACGGGACCGAGCCCGTCTTCAGAGCAGACCCGCTGCTGGTCCGGAGCCAACCCAGTCCACTAAACCAAAAACCAGGCCGGTTTCCAGAGTCCGGCAGGGCTCGGTTCGGCCCCGCTGCAGCCTCGGTGCGGGTCTTCCTCCGGATGCTGCAGCTGATGCTGCAGGTGACGATGAGGAGGAGGAGGATGAGGATGAGGGCTGGTCCTTCCTCCCTCCTGCTGGACCGGAACCGAGAAACCAACTTAACAGCCGACCCAGCTGAGGCTGACCCGGTTCGAGGGTCAGAATGGTCCGTGGCTGTGAGGGGGTCCGGCTCCAGCCTTTTTTATCCGCACTGCAGCTCTGTCCCCCCCCCAGCGTCAGAGCAGCGTCACCAACCACAACCACAACATCCGGCCCGCTCTTTCAAAATAAAACCCTTCAATTTTAATATCACCAAAATAAACCAAGTAGCTGGTGTCGAACACAAATTAAAGTTAAACTGTATTTTTTACTGCGAGATAAATGACTGCTTAAATAAAAAACACTGAGCTGACAGCTCCTTCACTGTTCCACATCTACTGCCAGGAAAGTGTTTAGCAACCTTCACCAGACCATTACTTTTCAAAATATCAAGGTTTTTATTTCTCTCTGAACTCTGAACTCTGAACTTTGAACTCTGAACTCTGCTGTGGGACAACTGATGAACTGCGAGCAAAGTTGTACAAATCATCTGAACTGTGTTTCAGGTGGATCAGTCCTTCTGACAGCAGAGGAAGAACGATCAGATCAAGGGGCTTCAACAAATTATTGGTTTAAAAAATGTGCACACAAACTTATTTTTATATATTGTTTTCTCCAGAACAATTTCTTTCCAGTTAAAATATACATCATGATAAACAATACTCACAGCACAGCAAAAAACAAACAAACATGATTTAACGCCGTTTCTTTTGCATTTTAACGCTGGGAATGAAACTTTATTCACTATTCTTGGAATTTAATTCACTTTTAAACAGTTTAAATAAACGTGTAAGATAAAAAATATGTTGTAATTGAGGTCAAGCCCACCCTCTGCTTTTATTCACATGATTTTAGTATTGACGAGATTCTGAAGAAATAGAAAATGTGAACTCCCACCCAGTTGGAAGCACCTGAACGCATCATTACCTCTGTGTACCTGAACCTGCTCTGTGACGTCATTTTTGACTCAACTGATTCATTCGTGTATTCTTTCTTTCTGAAGCGGCTACCTGTCCGACAAGCGCGTGGCCTTACGCCCTCTCCCACACGCACACGCACACACAGCATCGTGAATCGCTTTGGTCTCGCGCTCGCTCGTGTCTCATCACCTGTCTGTCTGTTTTACCTGAATGTCGGTTTCCGTCTGGACGACGCAGAGCCGAGCAGGTCCCACTCCCTCTGCTCCATCTCTCCAGCATCAGCACCACCCTCGCCACGCACGCGCACGGACACGCTTCTTCTGCGCCGCCATGTTGACGCGGTCAGCTCTACAGCACCCCCTGCTGACTGGGCGCCGCAGCTGCACGCGCAGCTTCAGCATCACTGCTCTGGGACACATCTGGAGAGGCTCACGGTCTTCACGCGCTGCATGCTGAATGTTTAACTTGACTTTTGGAACAACGCAGACACCAGCTGACCACTTCATTACCAAGGATTACCCTTAGACAATCAGCCAGTACAAACTTATACATTTTATTGTTGGATGTAACTGGGACCCCGTGTACATAATTTCGCTCCACCACATGCACCACATGAGGTGCGAATGACAATAAAGAAACTCTGACTCTGACATTGTGTGTGTGGAAATGTTCTTACTTTCACTATTAAACACAGCCCTGAGTGCTACTGTTGTTTTTCTTCCATTTGATTTCACCAAACATTTAAGTGATCGCTGATCACGATCATTCAGGATTTTTTTTTCCGGCCACATTTCTTCCTCGAAGACGATGGGTCCCCACTATCCTTCCAGTTTTTAATAATGTGTTGGACAGTTCTTAACCCAGTTTTAGTAGTTTCTACAATCTCCTTATATGTTTTCTCTGCTTGATGCCAATGATTTGACCCTTCTCAAACAGACCGACATCTTTTCCACAACCACAACATGGTTGTTTAAGAAATGAGAAGCAACTCATTGCACCAGTTGGGGTTAAATAACTTGTTGCAGCTGAAAGATAATCGCTCATGCAATAATTATCCAACAGGAGGCTCGTACCTGTTTGTTTAGTTAAATCCAGGTAGCAACTTTTTTTTGGTCAGGCAGTGTATTTCAAATGTTTATTTCTTTTAATGTTGATGATTATAGCTGCTCCCAACACACAAGCAGCAAAAATAATATATATTGGGAATAACTAGATACATATTTGTGGAAAAAATAAGCCAGTGCCTCTAATCAGTGGTGTTAAGGCCAGCAGAGAAAACTTTGCTGTGTTGTCCAACATTTTTTAGTCAGGTCATCTGGACGGTTTCTTTTTTTTGTGCTGAAACGTTTCCCGATGGGCTTTTTAATTTGAAATCCAGGCATATATCATACATTTGGTCAATCCAGTCTAAATTTTGAAACATGAAATACAGAAAATATGTGGTTTTGTTTCTAGTAAAATAACAGAACTTCTGACAGAAGCAATCATAAAGTTTGCCGCAGGGACTGACTGCTCCTAACTTATCCGAGCATTAAGAGCTACTTTGTTATATTTTATTTATTGTATTTATATTTTGTATGACTAATCCTTTAGAGATAAAAAAAAAAGAACAAATGAAAATCTCTGTAAATATCCTTTATGTGAAAATACAAATTTCTTTTGTGTTTTACACAAAGCTAGAACAAGGAGGTATAAAAATAAAACACTGAATATGACTCACAGATCAGATGACACTGGAATAAACATCCAACTTCACCATACGTGGTACAAACCACGTAAACCTACATGCATGCATATAAATGCAAGAATCTGCTTTTCCTCATTATAGTCTACGTAGAGCCAGATGTTGGACTCGGAGAGCTTCTGGTCGGAGCTTCAGGTTCGTCCGTTTCTGCAAAATCTTCAGGGTCGAGATCTTCTTCGAACATCCGCTGCAGCAAAGCATCCACTGTCCGGTATCCTGACACAAAACAACAACCAATGTGGTAATTAACGTGCACCAATAGGGTTCTTCTCAGTTTCTAAAACTTTATCTGAAATAAACATGACCTTTTTAAACAACTCTCCTAACTCTCTTTTCAACAGCTGAGAAACATCAGTCAGCAAACTGTCAATCTGACTCAAGTTTTCTGTTCATCTTTAAGTGGTGTTGTGGGGAAAAAGATTCCCAAAACAACCAGGTGTCGCCTTCATCATATTTATTTGGAGGACAGCCAGCAATCACAGAAGATCAAGGCAGTTAGAGTAAGGACCATAAGGATCATAGAGTAGGACCACGGAACATTTTAATATCATTCACAATAAAAGAGCAGTGAAAATTATGGAGCATGGTGAGTGTAAATAATACACATTCCCTTGACAGTGGTTTTACCAGCATTAACTTACTTTTTGAAGCAATTTTAAACATTAGGTTTGGTAGGTTTGCTGGTGTCGATGACTGCCCAGTTCCCAGGTCGTTGTCAATGGTTTCCATGTTATTCACCAAGTTGTCCTTGAGTTTCTCCCTGGTCAGAGCAAAAACAATGAGCGCATGTGGTAAAAATCCCAATCAGATGCAAAAGTCAGCTGCATAATTGTTTTAGTAGTTCAAAAACTGGGTAAAGTAGCAGCAGAGATACAGAATAATCAAAGAAAGTGCAAAATTAACACAAAGGGGAGAACACATACATCCAAAGTATGAGTAATGGAAAAATGACTGCAAAGTGATAAACACAACTAGACTAAGAAATATGTCATGTGCACCGCAGTACGGCAGCACTGACGGGAGCTCCACTTTCACTCTGTTTTTTTTTTGTTCCTGTTGTTTTAACTTTTTTGAGCCTACACTTCATATCCACACTACGAGCATGACCGTGATGCATTTTTGGAGTTTTTGTGTCGCTGCCTTGCCATCCTGCCATCGTGGTTCAGTTCCTGACCCTCTTCCATCCTCGGGCTCGAGCTCAGGCTCAGGCTCAGGCTCAGGCCTGTCACGGCAGCAGTCTCCATGACCCTCCATCTGCCTGCACGGACCGAACCCTACGGAACAGTTCAGTTCCACAGGGGAAACTTTGGATGTTCTGTGTCTGATGGACTCAGCTCTGAAGGGCAGTCATCGTCCGTTGCTGTGGCCGTTATTATCATCATGCTACCAACAGGACTGCGCTGCTATCAAGATCATGTTGTTAAGAGAACCACACTGCTAACAGAACCACAGTGCTAATAAAACCATGCTGCTAACAGTACCATGCTGCTAACAGTACCACGCTGCTAACATTACCATGCTGCTAACAGTACCATGCTGCTAACAGTACCATGCTGCTAACAGTACCATGCTGCTAACAGAACCATGCTGCTAACAGTACCATGCTGCTAACAGAACCATGCTGCTAACAGTACCATGCTGCTAACAGTACCATGCTGCTAACAGAACCACAGTGCTAATAAAACCATGCTGCTAACAGTACCATGCTGCTAACAGTACCATGCTGCTAA